TCCGCCCAAAAGGTCAAGTGACCAAGTTGCACGTCTGCAGCTTGATCGAGGTTATATAGTGCATTGCCACTCCCTGCCGCACAGGTCGTGAGTCGTGACAACCTTTTGGGCGGAACGGGTGGTTATGCGTTCCTAACAGGTATCAACGAAAAAACAATAAAAAAATAGACCATCAAGAGCAAATAATCTTGACCGAGACAGGGGTCGAACCTGCGACCTTCTGATACCATATGTCTCATGTGGTTAGACCGACACGGCCATCGTAGTCAGACGCTCTGCCATTGAGCCACACGGCCTGTTGGGTTGTCATTGCGATTGATTCTTAAACATTATCAACGTAGGAGGCGTTCGAGCGCTAGGTGTAGACACATCGACGATGGTACAACGGAATACGAATGCTTCGACTTCGAGGGGGGAATAATCGGATGAAAATTTGATAATAAATACAAGCTGCTTAACTGAGTATTGATGGTTATTTTCTTGTTTCTCTTTCACAACAGCATTCCTATACTTCCTTCCAAGTGCCGACGCCATCGCCTTCTGCGACAATCAGTGCATAAATTTCCGCGTCGATGCCAACATTCTTCCTTAGCTTCAATTGGAGCCGTCGTTGGAATTTCCACTACCTCTTAAGCTGACGGCTCCCGGTTCATCTAGGGATCTAGGTCCTACATGAGAGGCGCACTTTGTTGAGACGCGCGAGCCATCTCTGTACAACCTCGGAACGCCTATATGACCATTTCGAAACCTTGCCCGTGGCCTAAGGATTCGTAGTCGTAAAAGACAATCAGGCGCCTCTGGGACAGTAACTCCTGAGCCGGATGATGTCACTTTCGGCTATGAACCAAAGGTGCTATTTTTCAGCGCTCTACCGAGTAGCGTCAAGGCGCGACGATGCGATCGGAAGCCTAGCCAAGAATCCCGCCCGGCCTCTCCTTGCCCTTGATTTGGATTGGGGGATCGTGCGGTTCAAGGGAAAGATCAGTCCTGGTTATGAGCTGCGCCCGGGCGAGGAGTTGACGTGCCCATCGGTAGATGTGCAATAAGCAATCATTTCAGGGAGCAATCTTGCGCAACGCGTCGATGACTGCATTTCACGATCTGTGCTCAAAATTCAGAAGGCCAGAATGGCCTCGTCTTGCAACAGCTGGCGCAATTGGTTCAGAATCCAGCGTAGGTGCTCTCGACCTCGTTGGTGTAGAATAACAGCACCAAGCCCATGTGAGAATTGCACCCGGTGTACTCTGTGAGTCTGTAGTGATTATTAACATCGCCGGTCGCGGCAGTTGGGAATACTGCGCAACGGAATGGGGATACTGCACAATGAGACCCATGAAGTATTGCCGTCCAAATCGACCCGGAGCATATGTACAATAGTCCATTGTGAGCCATTCGTTCTTCTTTTGCCCTACTCTGGAGAGTATCGGTGCATGCGATCAGCGATTCAGCGATCGCATAGTTCTGACTCTGTGTCTTCGGTAGCGTTGACCGAGTTTTGATCCCTTCTTCGCTATCAGCCGTCGTCATTGTCGCGCAACGTGTCCACATCTGATGCCAAGGGGTCGACTATGCCCGACTGCTACAATGTGACAAAGAGGCTAAGTAGTCGATTATTGATACGCGAAGTCACGGTGGATGGAGCGGGGGGCTTAACGTTTTCGACCGACAGAGAGAATCGCATCTATAATCCCGTATCTTGAAACATAGCTGGGGACATATATGAACAGATCTGCAACCCTCACAGTGCTCAGCTTCCTCAAACCGGAAGAAAAAAACTACGCATGCGTGCGTTACGTAGAACGATCATGGTACGCATGACCCCCGCGGTTGAGTTCAGCTTCTCTGCTCACGCCCGCGGTTGAGTTCAGCTTCTCTGCTCACGCAGCTCTTTCACCGCCTCAAGTTTGACAAGCCATTCTCTTTCCGTTTGTAATGTGATCCCCTGATTAAGGAAGTGGGATCCCACGCCCAGTCGAGGAATAAGAGGATCGTGATACTTTTCTATGCATCGCAGAGTATCAGTCAAGGTGGGATGAGCCGACGACAGTGCATCTTGGGCTTACTGGTGTCAAATTGACGCCGAAAAATGGAGAACGAAAGGGTTGAGGGTTGAGTGACAGTGACAGACAAGACTTACTGGGACTGAAAGACTGGTCGGCCACCTTTGCCATAATCCTGTCCTGTTCTTCCCTAAACCTTCGAGAGTTGCCCACAGCAGGAGGTACTGTCTCAGCGGCGCCGGAGAATGGCTGAGATGAGAGGAGAGCGCCGGCCATAATGATGACGTGTGAAAGGGCTACGTCTTCGGAGCGCCGCGAGAAGAATGGTTGAAATGCTCGCGCGTTGACCTCCTCACGTACTCTACACTTCGTGGAAACGCATCAAGTGTGTCATGCGGCCACAACTCGATAATCAGTTGCACAAACGTGCTTGGAAGGTGTACATAGTAAATTGCGGCACGTGGCGCACCGTGGGGCGTGTGCTCCGATTCTGTCTTGACGTACGCGTACCTACCTTAGGTACTCCACGTCTACTGATCCTGCTCCTGACAGAAGTCTAGTTTCGGCGCCGTCTTCACAACATTCTCTAATTAATAAATGATCACGAAGGAGGCAGGCAACTGACACTCTCGATAACTTTGTCCCACATAATTTTTTGATGCGCTCAGTAGCTTCGACACATTAATTCATTGCGAAATGAAACATTCAACAGTCCCTGATGCCTGGGACGAGGACTGGGAGGTGCAAGCCGACAGCGCGGCGAATGATGAGGATAACAAGACCAAACATGATGGGGAAACACATTTGCAGCCCACACCGTCATTGACCAAGGCAGAGCGTATTACGAAGCATGCCGAGGCAAACCGAAAGGTGTGGGAATTTGCGTAAGTAAATTATTTGTTTGTTTCTCACATCCTCTTTTCCTCTCTAGGCTTTCCTTCCAGCTGACGTGAAGGCGAAATTGCGACGAATGTATCTAGAGACACTTCGCCGCAGACGTTCCATTATTTGGAAGCCAGCAATACCGTTCCCCTGACCTCCTCATTCAAACCACAAGTTAAGGTTCTCTCACGACAACCAATCATTGCGAAACGCGGTGCCGCGTCTGGCGGCATGACACTATCTGCCGAATATGACGATGATGCAGAAACTAAGAACGATCGACAGCCCACGGCTGATGAGATCCGAGCGAAGCAGAAACGAGATCTAGAAGAAAGACAGCGTCGATATGATGAAGCCCGAGCCAAAATCTTCGGAGAATCAAATCCCTCATCTCGAGGGTCGTCGCCTGGAAACGTCACGCCGCCCAAGTCGGATGGGCGGCAGTTGAGTAGAGGCCGCGGAAGAGGAGGCGGCCAGAGAAGCAACACGAGTGGCCATGAGGCAAGAGGTCAGTCAGACACTAGGCGAGCAAAGAATCAAGTTCTCAATGGCAGAGAGCTTTATGATCCCAAATTCTCGCCAATAGCCGACCCAATAAGTCAGCAGCGCAGAGTCGGAGAAGGCGACACTTCCGTGAATAGCACTCCCGTTAGCAATGACCAATATCGATACCAGTCGCAGTATCAACCACCGCCGCTGTCACCTCATTACCAGCACCGCCCACAACAACAACAACAACAACAACAACAACAACAACAACAACAACAACAACAACAACAACAACAACAACAACAACAACAACAACAAGCCATGCGGTCCCCGAGAGGACCTGACGGCAGCGGACGCGGCGGCTTCGGGTTCGCCCGTCGTAACAACCAGAATATCTGATGCGATGCCTCGGCTCCTTCTCCGACTTTCTCATCAGTAACCGGTATGAACACATGGCCACGCCGTTCTCCGCTATTATTCCATAGAGAACGTGACTATGTGATGCCCTTGTTTCAGCTTTTGCAAAGATAAGATACACTGAGGTGTGCTACCAGCCGCCTCCAACTTTCCCAGCTAGCTGAACTACCTTCTCGGCCTCCGTTGCTTTTCCGACGTCGCTATTGACCTCGCGATACGTCGTGAATGCCAATTTATCGATGCTGATGCCCGTAACTCGGCACCAGTACGCCAGGGTATCATGCACATACGAGCGAGAGATGCCACCAATCACATCACCGCTTTGAAACTCGTGGTCATCGTCATTGCCGTTTCGGGTCATGTCATTCGGATCTTCGCACGAGAAATATGCCTCGTCGACCTCGGCCAGCCACTCCTTTTGCTCCTGGGGACCAGGTCTGCCCAGTAACTTCTTGCGGTCCAAGACCACAGGATCGTCGATTTTGACCTGGCCGCCACCGTTGGTACATCCACCTGGACAGGCCATTACCTCGACATAGCCGTATTCTAAAGCGGTCTGCTTTCCTGTTGGCCGCCGAGCGCTGCCGAACGGTTTACCGCCTGGCATCCGGGACGCCCGAGCAGGCTTCAACCTGCGTACCAGGTTCTGAATATTCCTGAAGCCATAGTACCGGGCTGCTTTGAACACGGGCGAGCCGCCAACCGCAACGACAAACTCGACGACGTCTGAGTTGCGGCCCCGAGTCGTGTGGATCTGAGCACCAGGTATCTGCGCAGCTTTGCGCTGTAGGATGTGATAGAGCAGACCTCCCGAGGAACCCGCGGTACGCGGCACTTGTTTTCGAACCAGCGGTGGAAAGAGGAAATCCTGCAGTTCCTTGCTTGGGAACGGCGGCACTGGTGGCAGAGAATAGGCCGGTGTAGCATCGCAAGTAGAATCGAAAAAATCGAGCCCTCTAGACTCAGCGAGCATTAAAACCTCTTTGCTTGTGATCACACAATCCACGTCGCGAACCCCTCGACCAGGCAATCCCGAGCCAGCCCAGACCTCATCCGTAAGTTCCTCACGACTTGCTTCTAGCTTTTTATCGAAGCATGGCATGACAGCGAGGTGCCATATCCTGTGAGGGGGAATTCCCAGTTTCCGACTCAATGTTGTTTTAAGCATCGTCCCTAGGAACGCCTGTGGCGACTTGATCTTGGATAAGACGGGCAGCACGTGAGGATGCGTCTTCTCAGCGTAGCAGACCCATCCGGGACACGCCGATGACAAGACCGGCCGCGGCGTAGGTCTAGCTGACGTCCCACTCATCTCGAGCACCTCATCCGCACCCAGCACCAGGGTAGCCTCTCTCGCAACATTCGTATCGAGAACCCATGTGAACCCATTCTTGTACTTTCCTCCAGCAGCCAACCCATTCTCCCCCCGAAAAAGTCTCTCAATCATCAGTCCAGCTTGCTGCTCTGATGCGCGGCCACCACAGACTGCCGCTAAGTTAGCTCTGGTC